AGCGATCTGCTTTAGTGAATGGAGCCCATGTCTTTTTAGCAGAGTTGCTTGGGAATTTTTGTACTCTGTTCCATTGAGTTGAGTTCTTTCCCATTTCTGGATTCCAATAATTGTTATGATACTTGGTTCTTTCAAGCCCTATCCCTCTCTTTAGGGATTTCCTAACTTTTTCCATTTACCGGAAGAAGTTTCCAATCATAGGTATTTTGTACTTTTTATCATGGCACAGAAAAGTGGAATCTCCTACATATTTTCACTGAAAATAGTGTGTGTCTTACACCCTGAAAGTTTCCTGCTATAAATTTTACGTCACATCCAGTTCCATTAAAACCTTGAGGAAATCAATGGGATAATCTAGATAACGCATTTCTATAGCTACTGATAATATTGCTGGTCTTTTTATTCTTCTTTTTTTTTTTTTTTAACTATCTCTTTTTTTGCCCTTCAAATAAGACTCCTCCATTCTACTTTTTTAAATTTTCATCTCCCTAGATATTTTTTTTAGGGAGCCTTTATGTGCTTGCTATTCTCCTGTACCACCCCTAATGGTTAATGAATAACTTTCTTGTTATGCCATAGTACAAACCCTTTGTGTTGTAAGCCAGCATCCTTTGTGACACCTGATTCCTTTGTGCAGTAGAGCCCTAGAAATATGTATAGCACATATTTTATCACATTTCTTAAATTATGCTAAGTATAACTATAAACCAATATATTTGCCTCACTATCCAGAACCAAATCAACCACGGGCTGCCCTGTGGGAATCGCAACCGATAAATCAATGTGAGAGCTGTGCGTTATTCTCTCTGCACAGAACCCACTAGACCCTAAAACATAACTTTTATTCATACACAGCTAAAAATAACGTATATTGGCAAAAATGTTCACATTTTTGGGGTATAAATTCTGGTAGGAGTATTCAAAATGAGTTTTCCATGTGCTCGTGTTGCTTGGCGGTTTGAGCACTTTTTTTTCTTTTTTTATTTTGTTTTTTTGTTTTTGTTTGTTAAATTACACTTTTTTCACGCATGACAAAGCCCTTTTATGAGTGAAACATATTGAGTTTTGGGGTTGGGGTGTCCACTTTTTGATGTACTTTATATCAAGGGGACATGGGGTAAGATTGGCCATACTAATGACTGCCTCCCACACCAGACTATTTTTCAGTTTTTGGGCATAAGTAAGGGAATGTTTATCTTCATGGAAAACTCATTTTGAATACTGGATTATTTGTTTTATTAATTTATTTTACCCTCTACATCAAGAGTGTCAAATTGGCGGCTCCCCAGCTGTTGCCAAACTACAAGTCCCATGAGGCATTGCAAGATTGACAGTTACAAGCATAACTCCCAAAGGCGGAGGCATGATGGAACTTGTAGTTTCATAGTTTAACCGCTTCCCATCCACCCTATAGCAGAAGTACTGCTACAGGGCAGCATGAGTGCGCAAAATTACATATACATGATCTTGCAGTTCCGGATAGGGGGTGCGCGCGCTCTGTACCCATGCCAACATTTGTGGCCTCAGCAGTCAATCACCGGGTCCCGGCCACGTGCTTACAGTGAAGCACACACACACAGGACACAATGTAAAACTGTACACGGTTAACCCTTTGATCGCCCCACATGTTAACCTCTTTCTGCCCGGTGCCATTAGTGCAGTGTCAGTGCTTTTTATTAGCACTAATCACTGTATTGATGTCACTGGGGTTGTCAGTGACACCAAGTCAGTCCCCCCCCCCGCCCAGTGTTGGAATACCTGCAGCAGTCCAACTAGTCGCTGATCACCACCATTACTACCGGTAGTAAAAAATTTAAGAAAATTAAAAAATTCCTGTATCCCGCCATTTGTAAACGCTTTAATTTTCATGTAAGCCAATTAATGTACACGTATTAGAAATTTTTTTTTTTAGTAAAGACGTAGCAGAATACATTTTGGCCTACATTTTTTACAGTTTTTACTGGACATCTTTTAAGAGCAAAAAATCTAAAATATTTTTTTATTCTCAAAATTGTTAGTCTTATTTTTTTTTTTCATAGCGCAAAAAATAAAAACCGCACAGGTGATCAAATACCACCAAAAGAAAGCCCTATTTGTGGGGAAAAACCGGATATAAATTTAATTTGAGGGCAGCGTTGCATGACTGCGCAATTGTCAGTTAAAGGAACGCAAAAAATGGTAAATCCTTTGGAGGGAAGTGGTCAACAGCTGGAGGGCCACCAGTTTGAGACCCCTGCTCTACATCCACATGCAGGTTCATTATTCTAAAATTTTTGCCACCGTATGTTATTTTTAGCTGTGTATGAATAAAAGTTATGTTTTACTGCCTAGTGGGTTCTGTGTGTAGAGAGATTGACGCACAGCTCTCGCATTTGATTTATTGATTTTATTGATTTAATCATAAATATCATGGATTCCTTTTCATCCTTCTGTTATTTTTGTTTATCAATTGGCATTACAAGTTCGCTTCACCCCTACTTTCGCTCTTTCTCGCTTTCACTTTCACTCTTCTCTCTCTCTCTCTCTCTCTCTCTCTCTTTTAGCACTGATCACTGTATTAGTGTCACTGGTTCCCATAAAGTGTCAGACTGTCCGCTGCAGTGTCAGTCTTGCCACCATTACTAGTATTAAAAAAAAAAAAAATTCTAGTATATATACCTCCATTTGTAGATGCTATAACAATTTGTGCAAACCAATCAATATAAGCTTATTGTTTTTGTGTTTTTTGTTTTTTTTACCAAAAATATGTAACAGAATACATTTTGGTCTAAATGTATCAACAAATTTAGATTTTTTTTCTTCTTTTTTTTCTTGGATATGTTTTATAGCAGAAAGTTATTTTTTATATATATATATATATATATATATATATATATATATATATATATATACACACTGCTCATAAAAATTAAAGGAACACTTTTTAATTCTTTTTAATTCGAGTATAGCATAGTCAATTAAACTCCTGGGATATTGATCTGGTAGTAGCAGAGGGGGTTGTTAATCAGTTTCAGCTGAACTAGATGGGCAACAATGACACAACCCTCAAAACAGGAATGGTTTTACAGGTGGAGGCCACTGACATTTTTTTCCCTACTCATCTTTTCTGACTGTTTTTCACTAGTTTTGCATTTGTCTAGGGTCATTGTCACTACTGGTAGCATGAGGCGATACCTGGACCCTACAGAAGTTGCACAGGCAGTCCAACTCCTCCAGAATGGCACATTATCAATGGCCATTGCCAGAAGGTTTGCTGTGTCTCCCAGCACAGTCTCAAGAGCATGGAGGAGTTTCCAGGAGACAGTCAGTTACTCTAGGAGAGCTGGACAGGGCCATAGAAGATCTTTAACCCATCAGCAGGACCAGTATCTGCCCCTTTGTGCAAGGAGGAACAGGAACAGGATGAGCACTGCCAGAGCCCTACACAATGACCTCCAGCAAGCCACTGGTGTGAACATCCCTGATCGAACAATCAGAAACCGACTTCATGAGGGTAGCCTGAGGGCCCATCGTCCTCTGCTGGACCCTGTGCTCACTGCCCGACACCATAGAGATCGTTTGACATTTGCCATAGAACAAGAGAATTGGCAGGTCCACCATTGGCGCCCTGTGCTTTTCACAGATGAGAGCAGGTTCACCCTGAGCACATGCGACAGACGTGAAAGGGTCTGGAGAAGCCGTGGAGAACATTATGCTGCCTGTAACATCATTCAGCATGACAGTTTTGGTGGTGGGATCAGTGATGGTCTGGGGAGGCACATTCATGGAGGGACGCACAGACCTGTACAGGCTAGACAATGGCACCCTGACTTCCATTAGGTATCGGGATGTAATCCTTGGACCCATTGTCCAACCCTGCGCTGGTGCAGTGGGTCCTGGGTTCCTCCTGGTGCACGACAATGACCGGCCTCATGTGGCAAGAGTATGCAGGTAGTTCATGGAGGATGAATTAATTTATATCATTCAATGGCCCCCACGCTTGGCTGACCTAAATCCAATAGAACACCTCCTGGGATATCATGTTTTGGTCCATCCGATGCCGTCAGGTTGTACCTCAGGCTGTCCAGATGCTCAATGATGTCCTGGTCCAGATCTGAGAGGAAATACTCCAGGACACCATCCGTCGTTTCATTAGGAGAATGCCCTAATGTTGTCAGGCATGTATACAAGCACGTGGGCGCCATACAAACTACTGAGTACCATTTTGAGTTGCTGCAATGAAGTTTCAGCAAAATGGACTAGCCTGCTGCATCATTTTTCCACTTTGAATTTTGGAGTGTTTTTGATGGAAATGAAAATTATCAACCTACAGAGGACTGAATTCAAACGATGGGGCATGCATACATTCCTAACACATTACCCAGTCCATATCAGTATAGATATCCAGCATGATATTTTCCCCATTGAGATCTGATGTGTTTTCAAAGTGTTCCTTTAATTTTTTTTGAGCAGTGTATATCATTTTTTTTTTTTGTCAGTGTTTTTATTTATAGTGCAAAAAAAATGCAGAGGTGATCAAATACCTCTGAAAGAGAGCTCTATTTAGTGGAAAACAAAATTGCATAAATTTCAATTGTGTACAGCATTGCATGACCGCTCAATTGTCAGTTAAAGTAACGCAGAGTCGTATCACAAAAAGGCTTGGTCATGAAGGGGGTTCTATCTTCCGGAGATCAAGTGGTTATATTCCCTTCTCTGTGTTTTTCTCTCAATGTATTTCTTGCTTACAAACCTGGAGCATGACAGTTGGAGGTGGGGCTATACAGGGGCTGTCCTAACAGTTTGTGTTTTTGCCAATGTCCAAATTTGGAAGTATAACCCTCCATGCCTTGACCATTTTGCAATCCTGTGTTCTTCAATGAACACCAACAAAAATCTTAAAGTAAGTTGTTGGGTGGGGGAATTAGGAGCGTTGTGTATGCATTACATAAAATGCTGATTCACCTATCTAGTTTAGTGAGCTGCACACATTCCTATATCATCTTTCTGTTGTTGTCTAGGTCATCCTGGACTTGGAAGAAGAAAGGAGACGACATGCTCAAGATGCAGCTGATGGGGATGATGTCACATACATGCTAGAGAAAGAGCGGGAGAGGTTGGCACAACAGGTGAGAATGCCTTTGTAAAATCTTATTTATAAAATCGATGAGTTGCATTATGTACAAGTGTCAGGATGCATCTGCTCTTAGGTTTTATGTTTGAGAGCTCATTAAGGCTATGCTTTGTGTTAAATTGGAAAAAAAAAAAAAATGTATTTCAACGCACCCAACTTTTTTTTGAAACACACTTGCATTACTTGGGGTAGCATTCTTATTGAAGGGCACTGCACCTCTAATCATATATTACTGTATCATAAAGTATCGAAGTTATATCTAATATTCCCTAATATATTTAATAATTATATATCTAAATATTCCAGTATTGTTTTTTTAACATACCAGAATGGTTCAGTATGTAGTCAGTTTTGCAGGGCAATGTGAGATCACATAATTTTGTATGTTGGTCAAGGGAGCTTGCAAGAACCCTCACTCATGTTGGGGGTCACTGAATGCCCAGATAAAAATGGACAGCAGTCCTCAGGGTTCCCATTGCTCTGTTGCACCTCAGATACACTCTGCATCTTCATTGTTTATGCAGTGGATTAAACACCCCTTTTAAAAGCAAACCCTGTCTATTTCAGGTGGCTTTCACTTTGAGAATGTTAAACTTATAAGTAGGGATGCACCGAAATTTCGGTGGCCAAAACGTTGCGGCCGAAAACACCTCTTTCGGCTGTCGGCTGATATGAAAAAAAGCACCGATACAGGTGCAGAAAAAACCTTGCCGCCGCTACTACCAACGGCCGCCGCTCAGTAGTTTTCAGCTTTACCTGAGAAACCATTGAACAATCCCGCGCTTGGCATAGAGATTAGTGAAGGAAAGATGGCCTCCACTCATCTGTATGCCCTTGGAGGACCGGAGCGATGTTGCTTCCAGTTCCGGTCAATTTTTTTTTTTTAACGCACTAGATCAGTGCTTTTTTTGATCCAATGCTTTACATTGCAGAGGAGAGATGTGGGGTCTTATTTACCCCACATCTCTCCATAAAGAGGACCTGTCACTCATTATTTCTGCGTGCATTATTGGATGCAATCCTTGTGATAAAAATAAAAGTGATTCAAAATCTTTTTAAAAGGACAGTGCAAAAAAAAACCCCATTAAGTAAAACAAAAAAAAGTTTAAAGTGCCCCCGTCCCCCCCCATACTTGCATGTAGCGGTGAATGCATACGTAGGCCATGCTTACATATATAAACAGTGTTCAAACCACATACGTGAACGTCAGAGCAAGAGCAATAATTCTTGCACTAGACCTCCTCTTTAACTTTACACTACTAACCTGTAGAAAATTTAAAGCATCACTAATGGAGATATTTAAGTACCGCAGTTTCACGCCATTCCACGAGCGTGCACAATTTTAAAGCGTGACATGTTGGGTATCTATTTACTCATATTTTACAAAACAATTTAGGTATATATTGTGGTTTTTTTTTGTTTGTTTTTTTTAATCAGTGTATTTTTTTTTTCCCAAAAATATATATTCATTTTTAAAAACTGCGCATTTCGGTTTTGGTTTTCGGCCAATTGCATTTTGAATTTTCGGTTTCGGCACCAGAATTTTCATTTCGGTGCACGACTGCTTCTCTTCTCTGTGTTACTGAAAAAATTTTGTAATACGGTCATGCAGTGTATAGTGTCAGCAATGCCTGTCTTCCCCAACCATTAATCTATGTCTGTCTTACATGTTTAGGTCTAGTAGGCAGAGTGAGCAGCAGTTCCATCTAGTATTTATATGTCAGCTCCAGCATGCAGTTTGCAAAGTGAATGAAGACTGTGGAGTTCATTTGTTGAGTATAGCTACAATAATGCACAGCTATGATGTTTTTATTTTTTTTTCATAAAAAAAAGGTTTTATTTTAAATGTTCACCTCTCCAGTCTTTTTGCTAACCATGATGTATGTGTACTTCTTCAGGAACATTAATTCTATAAACTAAACAATTTTTTATTTCTCTTTTGTTTATGATTTTATGATTTACAGCTGGAATTTGAAAAATCACAAGTTAAAAAACTTGAAAAAGAACAAAAGAAGCTTTCTGCTCAGTTGGAGGAAGAGAAAGCTCGACACAAGAAACTGTCTTCAGTTTTAATGAAAGAATGTACAAAGGCCAACAACAGAGCTGTGGAGGAGGGACAGAGGGTTGAAGATGTTAACTTGAAACTGGAAAAAGCGAGGAGTAAGGTTAGTCAACTTGAAGAAGAATTAGCCCAAGAAAAGAAGCGTAGCTTACAGATGGAAGCTCAGGTGGAAAAACAACTTTCAGAGTTTGACATTGAAAGGGAACAGCTCAAAGCCAAGCTGAATCGAGAAGAAAATCGCACCAAGGCCCTGAAAGAAGAGCTTGAGTTGTTGAAGAAAGCCTTAAAAAGCCTGAAGGCTAATGGTGAAGTCAAAGAATCTGTTGTCCAGGATACTGAGTTGATGTCTATTGGTGTATCAACAGAAAAGCTACAGCTCACATCAGTATCTTGCCAGACAGGGAGTGTAGCACAAGAAAAAAGTGTTCCTGATGGTCCAGCGAAAGCCAATATTTCTCTGTCAACACCTAGTAAAATTCCTCAGCCATATTCAAAATTAAATGGACATTCTAACACAACAGGCCAAAACAGTGAACATAGTTTAAAGTTGAATGTAGGGGATAGCCTGAAAGAGAAAGTGGCAAGTCATGATAATTTTTCTGAAAACGGAAGTTCACCTGTCAGAGTAGAATCTCCTTTACATATGTTAGGACATGCTCCTTCTAGTGGAGCTTCCTCCTCCCCTAGCAGTACAGCAGCCTCCTCCTTAACATCTTCCCCCTGCTCTTCACCTGTTCTCTCAAGGCGTCTCATTGGAGGGTCTAGTAGTCCCGGCTATCAGTCGTCATATCAAGTTGGAATCAACCAGCGGTTTCATGCTGCTCGCCACAAATTTCAGTCTCAATCTGAGCAAGAGCAGCAGGTTTCTGGACTGCAGAGTCCTCCTAGAGATTTGTCCCCAACGTTGGCAGATAATTCTGCTGCCAAGCAACTTGCCCGCAATACCGTCACTCAGGTGTTGTCTCGTTTTACCAGCCAGCAAACCTCCAGCAAACCTGCACCTCCCAACAGCTCACCATTTGGCACAGATTACAGAACCCTTGCCAATGCCTCCAATCAGAAGAATGATGGTAGCCATTCTCCAAACCCTCTGAAAGTTTCTGGTCCTCTCAGTCCGGTATCTCCAGGGATAAAGTCGCCTACCATTTCCAGAGTGGAGAGGGGAAATCCTCCACCTATTCCTCCAAAAAAGCCAGGTCTAGCCCAGTCCCCAGCATCTCCTATTCCACCAACCAAAGTACCCAACCAAACCTCCTCCCTCGCAGCTTCAGTGGATGTGTCCAGTAATCATTGCTCCAACAATGGAATTATTACAAATGGGAAAGAAATTGAAGTAATGTTGCCATCTGGTAGCTAGTTATACTGCAACATTCTGTGAACTTCAAATACTCTTAATCATGTCAGTTCCATGCTTAAGTAGTATATACAGTCAAGCTGATCAAATGTATTTATTTATTTAGGTAGCAGAGGAAATGCTATTATATGCAGCATATATTTTTTCCTATTCTCTATGTAAGTATTTCATTTTGCGACCTCTTTGTTAAACTGTCAGAAGGAAAAAAATCTAAAACAGTCTTTACTCTTAATTATAGGATAATGAAGACAATTTTACATTACCCTTTATTATTTTGATAATAAAGTCCAAAAAGGCATAGTGGAGAATGTGATGGTATCATAAGAGTTTTAGGAACTTTTAAATGTTGTAACTAGAATCTCACTATCATTTCTGGTATGTCTGGAAGATTACAGACTTCTGTACTCATTGATGAAACTAAAATGTGGACTATGTTGAGTAGATAACCCTAAATGAGGTTTTTGTTTTGTTTTGTTTTTTTACATTTTCATCTTTTACAGGGTGACTTATTTCATCCAATTCTTTGGTTTTTTAGTAATCCTCTTCTTTTTGATTAGTACTGTAAGGTAACAGAAAATGTGCTGTAATGTCTGTTACATCGATTGGAGTTCAACCAGAGTGTCCACAAGATGGCAACACAGACTGAGACTTCTTTCTTTTATATTAGAAATGAAATGAGAAGTTAATGCCAAGCAAGCACAATAACACCACTAAGTCTTTCTTTCTTGAGGCCAATTCATAAAATCAAAGTGTCCATCATACCATTTGTACAGAGCTACAGTATTTTTTTTTAAGAGCAAATTAAATATTAAGGCAAGTTGCTATTAATCATAATTACAAAGTGTCTGTAGTTACACAATCTAAAGATACACTATATTGCTAAAAGTATTGGGACGCCTGCCTTTACACGTACATGAACTTTAATGACATCCCAGTCTTAGTCCATAGGGTTCAATATTGAGTTGGCCCACCCTTTGCAGCTATAACAGCTTTAGATCTTCTGGGAAGGCTGTCCACAAGGTTTAGGAGTGTGTCTTTGGGAATGCCTGACCATTCTTACAGAAGCGCATTTGTGTGGTCAGGCACTGATGTCAGATGAGGAGGCCTGGCTCACTGTCTCTGCTCTAATTCATCCCAAAGGTGTTTTATCGGATTGAGGCCAGTCAAGCTCCTCCACCCCAAACTCGCTCATCTGTGTCTTTATGACCTTGCTTTGTTCACTGCAGTCATGTTGGATCAGCAAGGGGCCATCCCCAAACTGTTCCCACAAAGTTGGGAGAATTACATTGTACAAAATGTCTTTGTATGCTGACACCTCAAGAGTTCCCTTCACTGGAACCAAGGGTCCAAGCCCAGCCCCTGAAAAACAACCCCACACCATTATCCCCCCTCCACCAAACTTTACACTTGGCACAATGCAGTCAGGCAAGTACCGTTCTCCTGGCAACCGCCAAACCTAGACACATCCATTGGATTGCCAGACTGAGAAGTGTGATTCGTTACTCCAGAGAACACATCTCCACTGCTCTAAAGTCCAGTGGTGGTGTGCTTTACACCACTGCATTTGACACTTTGCATTGCACTTGGTGATGTAAGGCTTGGATGCAGCTGCTCGGCCATAGAAGCCCATTCCATGAAGCTGTCTACACACTGTTGTGCTAATCTGAAGGCCACACAAAGTTTGAAGGTCTTTATCTATTGACTTTGCAGACAGTTGGAGACTTCTGTGCACTTCAGCGTGCGCTGACCCCGCTCTGTCATTTTTTGTGGCTGAGTTGCTGTTGCTCCAAGTTGCTTCCACTTTGCTATAGCACCACTAACAGTTAACCGTGGAATATTTAGTAGCAAGCAAATTTCATGAATGGACTTGCACAACCTATCACTGTAGCATGCTTGAATTCACTGAGCTCCTGAGAGCGACCCGTTCTTTCAGAAATGTTCATAGATTTTATACATCGAGGTGACCCATGAAGGTGGTTGAAACACCTGATTCCAATGATTTGGAGGGGTGTCCCAATACGTTTGGCAATATAGTGTACTTTAGATCAAGTTATATCTCTAGATTTCTCCTCACAAAACCTGTAGTTTATCTTTTCCAATATATTAATGCTCCATTAAGATGAGCACTAAAATAATGTACACAATTTCCAAACCAGCACCATGCAATTGCTTGTAGCGTGACTGAGAAATGACAAGAAGGACTTGTCTGTATTCACTCACAAAACAGTCTGAGACTGCAGTTTTCTTTTAAAGTAGAACGCTGTTTAAACGGTTAGCTGCCATTATTGCATCTTGCAATTTAGATATAGATTTGAAAATGAATATGGTCTACAGTATTACAAAATATCATCAATAATGAATGAAGGTTACAGGATTAAGTAAGATAATACATGACAAAAGAACCGGTCTGCATGTAACACTTTTTTCAGAGCCTAATTCTTGTGCTTCAAGATTTTAGAGCAGAACTTCAGACATAAAAGACACATTAATACAGCTCTGTATTAATTAACACCTCCCTAAATGTATTTTTTAAATGCAGACAGTGTAAGTACCAGGATTTTTACCTGGTATTGGTCTCTTGCCGCACACTGCACAGTTGATCCCAGACTAAGGGAAGGTGAAGCAGCGCAAGTTGCTCTCACCTCCTATCAGCATACTACTGACTGGAAGAGTAGTGACAGAGAGATAGGCGAATCAGTCTGCTGCTTCTCCTTTTACTGTCAGTTATAGGGTGGGGATAGGGAGAGAATGATGTAATAATTTCTGAGCTGCAGATGAGAGCATTAAGGTCCACTGACTGCGCAATGCGTGTGCTGTGTACAAGGCATAGTTTGCAGTATTATATTCAGTATACAGCTTGTCTGTTTTGCAGTATAATTTTGTTTTGTTTTTAGGCTTCATTCACACTAGTGCGAGTGCAACTTTGGATTGGTAAAACTTGGATTCAACTTTTGGCTTTGACCAATGACAATGGGCAACTGTTGCACAACTGTCACATGGATAACATTCAGGTGCAACTTTTGAGGGTTTACATTGCAGTCTGACACTCAAGGCACATGAAAGTCAGACCAAAGTAGTGCAGTCCCACATGAATAAAAAAAACATGGGTGCGACTTGCCATGCGAGGAGCCTAAAGATGGTACACTAAGCAAAGAAGGCTACATATAATGGTGTGTCTTCACCTATACTAACTGCTATACTGTATTTTTTTTTCTTCAAATAAATTATGAACTAACCTGCTTTCAGTGATAACCGTTGCGTTAATTTTTTGTTTTTCATGTGTGGTCACAGGAAATTTATCCAATTGTCATATTTAGTAGCACTTACAATAATAACTCCCTAAGCCCAACAGACAGCTGTAAGTCTTAAAAGGAAAAAAAAAAAAAAGCTTTTTGGGTACAAACCTCAAGCTAATTTAGTTTTTAAAGTTACTGATCAGCAGCAGCTCCCAAGCAGGGAATGAATGTGCATAGCATGCGTAATTGCACTAATATTTCTCCAATCTGCAGTAATTGACTTACCCCTATTGTTGCACTGCAAGGAATGGCACTAAAATTACTAATTAACTGCACAGTGTTATAGTTGATACCTCCAAGTGCCTTAAAATGATGGGGATATTTAATGAGTGATTAATGCAGTAAAGATTTTGAAAATCTGGTCTTAAGATTTGCCATCAATGCATTTAATAGTACCTGAATGCTCATCCTACACATGTATTATTTTTTTTTTGGGGGGGGGGGGGTTTATAGTATTAATTATGTGCGAGATATTAACATTGTGGCACTAATTCGGATTTCTCATAATTTGGTTTTTGTGTAAGTTTTAAAGGTAATGAAACACATGTTTTTCACACCCACTGAGCTCTAATTTGGAGACTGAAATAATATTTTAAGCTCAGCAGCCCAGGAACCAGAAGTTCTCAGCTAATCATTCCCATGTTTTGTAGTTATGTATGCTGCTCACTATGCAGCATTTACTTTTTTTGAAAGTTTAGCCAGTTAAAGCAGATATACTGCTACAGGGCGGCTCCACTGTGCAAAGTCATGTAAAACACATGATTTAGCATTTCCGAGTAGGGGTCGCGTGCAGACCTACCCATGCCGCTATTGGCTGCTGGATATATCAATCACCGGGCCCCTTGGTGATTGTCGGCAGGGCTGAGAGGGGAGAGATGTTTGTGTAAACAACACAGATCTCCTGTCAGCATGGACATGCTGCTTTATATCTCTGTGCACAGCATGTCTCCCAAGTAAAACACAACACAGCACACATAGTAAAACACACACAGCACACTGTTGACCCTTTGATCGCCCCAGATGTTAGCCCCTTCCTGCTCAGTGTCATTAGTACAGTGTCAGTGCTTTTTTATTAGCACTGATCACTATATTAGTGTCACTGGAGATGTCAGAGGTAGTCTGTTCCCACCCGGTGTCAGAATGCCTGTCGCAGTCCCGCTATAAGTCACTGATCACCGCCATTAGTAGTAAAAAAAAATTAAATTTCAGTGTATATATATCACCATTTGTGGATGCTATAACTTTCACATAAACCAATTAATATACACTTATTGGATATTTTCTTAGAAACATGTAGCAGAATACATTTTGGCCTAAATGTATGAAGAAATTAAATTTTTTTTATTTTTTCGCTGGATGTTTTATAGCAAAAAGTCAAAAATATATATATATTTTTTTAAATTGTAGGTCTTTTTTGTTTTGTTTTTTGTTTAGAGCGCAAAAAAAACAACAAAAGAAAGCTCTATTTGTGGGGAAAAAAAGACATAATTTTCATTTGGGTGCAGCATTGCATGACCGCGCAATTATCAGTTAAAGTAACACAGCGCCTTATCGCAAAAATGCCTGGTCAGGAAGGGGGCTCATGGAGGGCAAGTGGTTAAAGAAACTGACAAATGAAAGCCATCTTGGGTTATTTGAACTGATGAATTTCAGATTCATTGTTAAAACCCTGTTTTATCTCACCTATAGGGTGAAAATTACTGAGTG